AATACTCTGAAAAAAGTTCGGGCTGCTAGCCTATTGCTACGAAGATACTGCACTTTTACGGTATGTTTTTAAATGAAAGCTGTGGTCCCCTCAGGAACACCAGAAAAAATGATTTTCGAATTTTGACTTGAAACTTTACATATAAACAGACCTTACCGAGAATAGTATTTTGTGAAACTTTCAGGTCTTTCTATTTGTTCTTATCCTGAAATGACAACATCAAATCTTTTGGTTTATCTGAATGACATTATTATAGTTGTATCTACCGATAACAACAACAAAAAGCTCTAAAACTTTTACAAAATACTNTTTTTTGTTATTAATAACAAATAACTTTTTTTGTTATTGTTATTAATAACAATAACTTTTTTGTTATTTGTTATTGACAACAATAACTCTTTTTGTTATTGTTATTGTTATTAATAACAAAAAATAACAATAACTTCTCACCCCTAATGTATGTATCTACGCAAACGGCTAGATTCTGGAAAAGAATATTTTCGCATATGTCTGCCTGGCTTCCCATTGTGTATGGCTAGAATACTACGATCCATGGAACCAAAATTCCTCAATAATCATTACCCTTGATGGTTAATGCTGATGCATAAGCGCTAGTATTTGTTAAATACCAAAACTAGTCTGATGCTCCTATCCACATACAAAGTGTCGTGTCACGGTCATGTGATTAACAAAAAAGATATTTTCGATTACCAAATCTTTTAATGCGAATAATCAGTAAGACAACATACGTTTGATCGGTAAAATGATGAGAAGGAGGAGGCTAATGAGGGATGTGAAAATGAGGGTTTTTAGAGAGCATTGATCCAATACTGTTGATGTGTAGTTGTCAACTAAGTGTAGACGTGTGCACGTAGATAAATTTCGATGATTGTAACTGCCTAAATATAAGACCCACACCCTTGTTCTAGGTCTATCAAACACGTTGAATTGCTTAAAAAAACGAAAAATAACATATCATTATTGAACACAAAAAACAACTGTTCAGAAAAATACTCATAAACATATGTTTTCTTCACTGATCTTTTCACATTAATACGCATTTTAAGTTACTCTGGAATAGGTAACGTGTTTTAACAGTTTTTTAAAAAGCGTTGTTCGACTGAGCTCTTTTCATTTTGCCATATTTGTGTGATGCTTCCTTTTTTCTTTGATAATCTGAAAAAACCTCTAACTACCCTTCAATTAAAAGGTTATTGTCAACGTATTATAAATATTTCCATATACTGAACGATGAGATGAAGTCGAGTTTTCAAAGATCTCACCTGTTGGCTGATTCTTAATGAGATGTAGTTGTGTTCACCATTATAATTCCATTTGGTTTAGTATGATAGATTTGTCTATGGTGTGCGCATGATTTTTCCTTAAGCGATTCCTCGAAAATGTCGGGTACTCCATAGAATTCGCTGAAAGCAAGGGATCTTACTTTATGCCATGAAGATCTTAATTGATCATTTTGCGGTAAATATAAGAGCTCTGATTAATGGCTCATTTATATTATTTTATGGTCGTGAAGATACTGCTTAGTAAATAAATGTTTTCAGCTTACTATATTATCTTCCTTGTGTAAAATAGCCGTAGACACCTGATAACATGAGTAAATATAGAAAAGAGCTTACTATTTTTAAAAATACGATTCGAATATATCTTGCAAAATGAAGAAGTAAGGAATATTATATATTTTATCCCCTCGACTGTAGGGAGGGTCATATGAAAAAAAATAAGTTTGCGCCCTTGTAACAAAGGTCAAAAAAACATATGTAAGAGGTTAGCTTATTTTAAGACTTTTCGACGTTTTGATCGAACTTTGCTATAGGTAATCGAGGGCCCGGAATCCGAATCTGGAGTCCTTTTTTTGGCCGAGCTTTCATTAGTCGGTAGTTGGACAAATGAAAAAGTAGCTTTTTTGTTACAGGGCTTTTCGGTGATTTGTTTAAGCTTTGCCAGCGATTGTCACGGGCCAGGCAAGCAAATCCATTATCGGCTGTGAAAATTCCAAGCTTAACTTAAGACATTTAATGCTAGTTAAGCTTGGTTAGGATTAGTTAAGGGTAGTTAGGGATAGTTAAGAGTAGTTAAGTCTAATTGAAACTAATTATTAATTCAGTGGACTGAAGTTAGTTCCCTCGACTGTAGGGAGAGTCATATGAAAAAAAATAGTTTGTGTGCGTGTTTGTGCCAGGGTCAAAAAACCATCAGAGGTGAAGTTCATTTAGGCGTAACTTCTAAAGTTTCACCAAAGGTAATCCAGGTCGGGAAATCCGAACCTTAGGTCAGGTTTTACATCCGGCGATCCCATTGGCTAAAAAGCCGACCAATCAGAAATGAGCTTTTTTTTTTAAAGCTTTTTGGGCCTTTTGATGAAACTTTACTCTTGGTTATCGAGAGCCAGGATTCCGAATCTGAGATCGGATTTTATATCCAACCTTCACATTGGCTAGAAAGGCTATGAATTAGAAATGAGCTTTTTTGTTTTAACCTTTTTGTACGTTTTGATGAAACTTTATTATAGGTAGTCGATGACCAGGATTCTGAATCTGATGTCGGATTTTACATGTTAAAAAGGTTGACGAAAATAAATTGGGGTCGGAGAATTCGAATCTGAAGTCGGTTTTTCAAAATTTTGAAGTTGATTTTTTTCGGTCAGGGGTTGCGCTTTTTGAGAAAATAACGATTTTTCATGAGGCTTAATCGAGGGTAACTCGGGTCGGGAAAGTTGAATCTGAAGTCAATTCTTGAAAATTTTGAGTTTGATTTTTTCAGTCAAAGAAAAAGTTTTTCGAGAAAATAACGATATTTTAGAAAAGTTGGGGTGCCTAAATCGGCGTCAGGGCATCCAACTCTTTACTATATTGCTTGAAGTTTGCCACTATAATTTTATAATCAGGGTAAGGTTTTTTTAGGGAAACAATAAGTTTTCGGTGTGTTGAGCATTGAGTGGTATGAAATAAAATGAGCTTGTGACCTGACAATGATTGTGAGAGTAACGTATTCAAATGTGTTAGCGGGATTACAGGGTCGACTATTTCACTAGCGTAAACTATATCCGAGGTTTTTCCAGTGTGGGTATGGGGTGTAGGTGTGAGGTAGAACAAGATCAACCCGCTCAGGCACATACTTACACCGACACCGACATCCACACCACAAAGTATTCCTAATATCCAAATTCAAGTTTAGGTCAATGCCACATGATTGGCATCTAATCCTGCTGGCATTGCGTTTTTTCTGGCTTACTGTTCCATTATCCACATTTGCTTTTCAGCAGACGGTCTGGCTCATGAAATTTTTTGCCACTATGACTGAAAGAAGGTAATATAAAGAAATATATAAAAGTGAAGTCACATATTTTTCCGATTAAAAGAAAGTAACTAGCTTTTGCTCAGGTGCGTTCAAATAATGGAGCGATTAGCCGTGAGTGGCGCCCAGAAGGGGCGCCGATGAACGACTAGTCATTCCTATTTCAGGTTCACTGTTGATTCGCCTTAGAGATGATCTATATAAACGCTAGGTTTTTTTGGCGAATACTGCACTAAGGTTCTCTTAGTGAGGAAGTTAAGTGAACCTCTGATTGGCTAGCTAGGCAATGAAATTAAAGACATAAGGAATAGTTCATAATAAAGCTTCGGCTTTGAAGTTTCTCATGGAGAATTCTCGTATTATAACTCTAACGACTTCTGGAACTATTATAGTGTGATCAAAGATATATGGTATTTTCCTTTTTTTCTTTCTTGTGTTCTCCTTCTCTTCTCTTAATATAGTATAAATGTTTTCCATCTCATCATGTATTCTTCCAAGTGTTCTTAGGTTTTTTCCTAGTTCATTCATCTATAGATAATCGTCGTTTTGAGAAATAAAAGAGTGTGTAATTATTATTATCAATCAGTTGGATCGAAACTACCCGCTAACAGGAACTAAGCGAAATCTAGAATCTAATAGGGTGTAAATCGAAGAGAACGGTCTGGTACCGGAATAGAATTCAGCATAGTAGCGGCTAGCCATGAATGGCGTCTCAAAGAGGTGCCGACGAATGACTAGCTGCTGCCCTGTGAAATTCCCTAAAGGCGCACTTCAGATTGTTGTAATCCATCAAAAAAATATCTACAGTGAAGATCTGGAAGGTTCAATAGAAACCAGAACTGGCAAAAAAGACTAAGAAATGTTTTCGAATGAAATGTGAGAACAGTTGTGCTGCACGTGCACAGTATTTGAATAGAACATTCGACGAAAAATATCATGCAAAGAATTCAGTTCTGTCCATTCAAAGTAGATTTCAATGAAATAAAATAAGCTTTTCTGTCATTATGAGTCCATGTCTGTGTGCATTTACTCGTGTAAATTTATTCGAGTACTTTGAAATTATCTATCTAATCCGATGACTACTTTGAGTACGAGCGTCATTCAAGTGGCGTATTTCGAGAATTAGTCTGGCCAAATATGGTTTATTTTAATCTAAAAGTTCAGCTATATACGTGTTTTTGTAGTGAACACTAACAAGTGATATTGTCTGTTGATGTGCTGGTAACTATGCGCGTTTTTATTTGTTTTCAAGAAGTATGATGCGTTTTCACACTACTATCGTGGATGTGCTTTATTTCTTGATTGTCTCTCTGTACATTAAATGTAATCTCTTTTCTAAGGGCATGTGGATACTGCTGTCGTAGGGTTATTCATTTAGATTTCCGTTGAATATCAGTGAGAGCGTCTCAGTTTTCTTGAATGAATTTATAGGAAAACGTATCACAGACATATGCATGTCATTGTGTACAAGAATATTGATACGAATGTCAATATTCGCATTCACATGAACCCTTTTCAAACTTTTGATACTAGCTGTGTTGAGGACTGCGAAGCAATATACAATACCGAAACAGCTGAATATTCAGTCGAGGGTCAAGCAAGTCACATTGACGAGCGTTACTTGTATATAAGGCGCTGGAAAGTGTTAAAGTTCACTTGAGTATTCGATTATAGATCTGTGAACAATGATATCTTCAAATACTACATATTCATCTCATCATAGTGAAATGTCACGATCAATTCTTACAAGATGTTTTCAACTATGGGCTATAGTAATAGCACCTTTTTTGGTTATAGCTCTTGCTGTTTTAACAATTGTATTTGGCCTTCTTTGGAGCCAAAGTCAATCTTCTTCGTCAAAAAAATTTGCAGTCGAAAAAGGAATTATTGGTTTTCCTATTACTTTACCAGATGATGGTCGATATGTTCAATGGACATTTTTACATCTTAATGATGTTTATGAAATGTTACCATTAGATAATGGACAAAGAGGAGGTTTAGCACGTGTTGCTCATATAAGAAAATTATTATTAGAAGAAAATCATCAAACATACACTGTTCTTGCTGGGGATCTTATTTCACCATCAGCATTGATGCAGTCGCAAGTGAACGGCACAGCATTGCATGGGCGTCATATGGTAGCAACTATGAATACTTTAGGTCTCGATTTTATGACATTTGGTAATCATGAATTTGATTTCTCTAATACAGATATAATTTCACGTATGAATGAATCAAATTTTACGTGGATTAGTTCAAATGTATTTGATATGACAAATAATAAATCATTTCATACTAGTATTCCATATAAACTATTAAATATTGATAGTGTTCGTGTTCTAATCATTGGCTTAACAACTTATGTCAACAAATCATATGTTCAAAGTGTTGATCAATCATCACTTATACCTTTTGTTCAAAAATTTCTTCAATCAATTTCACAAGTTCAATATGATGTTCTTGTTGCATTGACTCATTTGGATCTTGACAAAGATATAGAACTTCTTGAAAATATTCCCAAAATCAATCTAATTATGGGTGGACACGAACATGAAAATTATTATCTATCAAGAGGTTCAAAATATGCTCCGATTTACAAAGCTGATGCAAATGCGTTTAGTGTTTATATCCATCGATGTGCTTTTAATTTGGATACACGACGATTTCGTATTTATAGTAATTTGGCACTTGTTACACCTGATGTACAAGACGATGCAAAAACGGCTCAAGTCGTTAATTATTGGTTCGATTTAGCTATTCAAAGCTTCGAAGCTCTTGGCTTTCGTCCAAATCGAACAATATCTTGTTTACCATCATCAGTTGAACTGGACGGTCGTTACGCATCAGTAAGAAATTTTCCAACACTTTTATCAAATTTTTCTTGTGAATGTATGGTGTATGCAACAACCGATAGCAACACAACGATCGGACTTTTTACCAGTGGATCGATTCGTATCGATGATGTACTTCGAGGAATAATAATAGAGTACGATATTTTACGAACATTGCCGTATCAAAATAATTTATATGCAATATCAGTTCCTGGTGAAATACTCGCAAGAGTATTCATAAATAGCATGTTATTGAAAGGTGATGGCATGTTTCTTTCCTATAGTGGAGTTGAAACGACAGATGGAGGAAAAACATGGCTAATGAATGGTCAAGATATATCAAAAACGGGTCTCAACTATAAAATAGCAACAACTGACTATGCTCGAGAAAATGTGAAAGGATTGAATGATGGAACCGTTAGCATTTTAAAATTTTACAATACAACATCTCAAACACAAAGTTTAATAAATTATTTGCCAAGCAAATATCCACCATGCTGAACGATGAACACAATCTAAAGAGTATAGATTACTTTTTAAATAAAATTCCTTGAAAAAGAATTTAAATAGTCGGATGAGCTGCACACTATTAATATCCAATTAAACTCATTGCAATAGGGTATCTACTTTTCTACACAAGCTGAAGGTGTAAACATGATCAGTAATTCAATGAAAACTTGAAAATGGGAAACACCACTTGAAAGTTGAAATTATATATATTTTACTATTAATTTACATGCAAAGAAGTCAATTTAAAAAATATTGTTTGTAACTATTAGTTCGAAGTCAAGAATGATCTTGTTTTCACCATTTGATGTTTCAACAGTAATCGTTCTATTGTATTTTGTTTCTTGTATATACTTGTTTTTTCACTCATCTAGCGCGTTTACAAACGCCCAACCATGTGAATGATTTTCAAACATGGATGCATGCTGAGCCATATCGCCTATTTGAACTCTATGCTTCCTTTGTAAATGAATGATAAACTCAATTTCAAAGAACTTCTTGTAAATAAACATTTGAGAATAATGCGCGACAGTGAAGAATGATAATCGATCTCTAATAGGGGTGTGCACCTGGTAATTGCTGAAAAGAAATCAATATCTAAATCCACATCCTCTACATGCTACATTAATTGAAGCAAGAATGTATTTGATTGTTATTTATCGAAGAAACAAACAAACAAAAAACTATTTCGATGGTTTCTGAACAAAATTTGAGGGTTTGGGTGTGGATGTGACTTGGCATGTTCTTTACACCCACACCCACACCCACACCCTATTTGGTTGCGTGCGAAATTCTCGAGCTTAAAAAAGCTCGTTAATTTTCTCATGGAAGCAAAAAGGGCTTGGTAATTTCGTACGGTATCAAAACGGTTCGGTCAAATACCTATTTTTGTTTTAGAGTGAACTGGTGACTGTAACTTTTTAAAATACACCAGAACAAGTGTTTGCGAAACAATGATGTCAGATGTTGATGATTTTAAGTCAAGAATAATCAAAGAATTGAAGCAAATTAAAGAAAAACAAGTTGCAATTCAAGAAAGCACGTTTTATTTAGCTTTTTGAGCGCTGAAAAAGCTTCATTTTTATGGTAAAGGCATACACGATACGTTACAGGATCATTTTGTGAGCTTTACTTTGATGAATAAAAAAGTCGAATCGTTTGCTCAATCGCCAGAAAAATATTTGCTCATTTGATTGAAAAATATCCCACTTTCTTTTTTGCAGATGATTTTTTGTATTCAAATCTATAATTTAACTGTTTGTTGAAAGGTCAAGAAAGAAGTGCATTGTCGTTCATGAAAACGGTACCGATATTGATCCGAAATCACCAATCCATAATCACGAATTGATTCGAAGATCTTCGTGAATGATCGTGTGTTTAACAGATGCAACGTTACATGTGGTATCAATCTTTTTTCATCAGCCATAGATTGAGAAAATTTCCAAAAAATTGAAACACCCTTGCAATGATACTTTCACATGATTTTAATGCTTTCGTGATTTTAATTGATAATATACTCCATACATATTCCAATTGTGGCACTGGGCACTACGTATGCGAAACATGTGCATCAATGTTCTCTCTTTTTTATGTTTTTTATTTAGTTGTTTGTACTCAAGCATATTATAACAGTTGCTACTGCTTCAATCCAAATACAGCAAACTGTTGATGGTATAATTAGTTCGTAAACTATGGAAATTTTACTTTTTTTCTTGTAGTGCTATTTTTCAAGTGACTTATAAAAACCGACGTGACACTGATGTGAGACAAAGGACTTTCTTTACTATTGTGTCAAAGTGATTCTTCTTTATTTGTTTTAGACTACTGCTCGCATGCATGTGTCAATCGCAACTTGAAGTGCGACAGCATCTGTTGGTAACACTTTCTCGCGTTGAAGAAGAGGGTGTGAGTGTGAGTATAGTTTTAATAGTCATAAACAGCCACAGCCGCAGGCACATCCTACACCCACACATTATCCTTATTGGCTAACCAGTTGGATCACTATCGATCGAGTTCGCTTTACATTGTTTCCTTCTATATTCAAATGGTGTCTATAACTTTGTTAATTGTGTTCACTGCGCGTAGTCGCTTACGTGCAGCTACCAAACTAAAAACGTTCATACAACAACTTAAACAATAATTTGAAAGTCAAAAAAAACTGTATCTTACTCCGACGATTATTGTGTCAAGCGGTCTACCACAAATTATCCTCTCATTCAGCTTCGCTTGTACCGAATTGTCGATATGGCAACGACATGCATTACTTATCGCCTATTTTCTATCGTATACAACACAAGTACTCGGTTTTTTACTCTGTGTATTGCCATCAACTATCTATTTGAAAGAGTTTCGAAAAACTAAATTGGCTGAGGTGTCTTCGTTCAAATCGATACTTCCTAAAAAGAAACCAGCAGCAGATATTAAACAACGTGCTATGATCGTTCAAAAACCTGAGTTGCAACAAGAATTTTTGTCATTTAATGAACATCAATTTGAAATAACTAACATCGTTCTGACTCATTTCTACTGTGAACTTTATTCTTAAATAAATTTTGTTGATTTTCTACTAAATTAAATAGTTTAAAAACAACGCACATGTCAGATAATGTCAGAATGAATGAGATTCACTGGAACTAGTTCGTGACTTCTTTACTGTGATAACCTCTAATGCAGATGCCTTGGGATTAATTTAAATGGATGGATATCGTTAATAGTCAGACGAATAAAACTGGATGAGAAACGAGTACGAAATTGCGTCTCAATGTGATGCAACTGAATTCTAGCGCAGTGGGCAACTTTCGCATACCAGGCGGACATGGAATTTTCGTATTCGGTAATGGGTTTTTATTGCTTAGAAGTGATTATATATCACTTAGAAAATCATCTTTAAGAAAAGAAAACATTTCTAAAACGAAGAATTTTTCCCAAATATTATCCGTAGGGCATCCTTGCCACGTTTTTCGAAAAAAGATTTTTGTTATCAAACATAATGTTTCATACATCATTCGACGTAGTTTCAGACGCTGATTGCGAATATCGACTTAGTTTTTCGCTAGGAAGTTATTTTGTGAAACAAATAGGGATTTAGAGTCAAAAACCAGGATTTTTTGGAAAATCCGTAACTTCGTCCACGTTCACTATTGCCTTTTGACAGTATAGACAAGGAGAGATTCTACATGGAAGAATATTCACTCAAAGTTTGAGCTGAATTCGATTGAAGCTGTTTGTAACGTTTACAAAATCGAGAAAGCCAATTTATAGGAACATTCTTAGCATAGCAGTCAAAACGTTTTCCTTTAAAAAAACGCTTTTTATTATATATGGTTCGATGCAGCTCAATGGGCTGATTCCGAATATCACCTTGGCTTTGCACCAAAATGATGTCTTCTTTACAAAAATAGGGATTTGGGGGTAAAAACCTTGGTTTTGAAAAGACCCGTAGCATCACCTGTGATTATAAATGCGAAGTGGCGCTATGGTCACCGACGTACCAGATTTGGGAGAATAATAAGCGAAAGTTTGAGATCAATTACACTTAAGCTCTTTATAGCGTTTAAAAAATACAGAAAGGGTGATTTTCAAAAGCTTGTCGCTGCCTAAGTACCGACTTTTATTTTTAGAAACACTTACTGTTACATATGATTCAATGCAGTTTGACGAGCTAACTTTGAATATTACTTTAGTTTTGCATTAAAATATTTTCAAATTCTCAAAACTAGGGATTCCGTGGCAGAAGCCTTTTTTCAGGATACCTCTCGTTCGATCTGTGTTCACAGATGCAACACGACACTATCACTAACGATAAGTCATAGATGAGAGAATAATTGATGAAAAATTCAGCTCAATCGGCGTAAAACTTTGTAGTATCCACAAAATACGACATGACTGATTTTTCGACCTATTTTCGGCCCAGTAATCACTTATTTTCTATTCCATTTATGGTTCAAACAATATAATTTTTTCGCATAATATAGCTTATGGGCCAATCATCCGTTTCAGATAGTTTTTCATTTAAAAATATTTTGATTAGTTGATACAAGAAATGGTCTCCATATACTTTACGGATTTTTGAACAATTTTTTGACGATGGGCTTTCCTATGTTTCGAATTGATTTCTAGGAATCTAGTTTCAGGGCAAAATGAACTAACCATAGACGTATTCATTTCAATATTTAAACTTTGGAAAATAGAACTTTAGGTCATGTTCACCTGGTTGCCCACTGTGTCTAGGGCAAATAATCAAGCAAGGTACAGTGACTGGAGTATTTGCATTTTGATCAAAGTCGATTGCCCAATGTTCGAGTCTATTCTGTTGCTGATCGAGCACTTCTCATCAAAGCATATTCATTGAGTCAGTTGAATCACAAATATTAAGTCGATAACAAGCGTATTTATTGGCGACACAGAACGTAAAAGACGGTATGTCAGCGTGAGTGGCGATGTTTGAAGTGTGCGCATTTTTATTGCCACTTCGCATAACCAGACAGAATGAGTTCAATTTGAGATAACAAACTTTGTTTCTATAAGTTTACCGATGTTCGTTCACAGAGGATCTTCTACATTTTTTTCTCGCGAATGATCAATAAAAGTGTGGGTGTGTGAGTATATTGTTGAAGAACAAAGCAACGTCGACATGAACACCCACATACCCTAACCTATCAATATTCTCTTGTCAGTCGTAAAAGAATCAGTTCATTTCGACGAAGTGTGACGGAGATATTCAATTTCTTCGGTGAAATAATTTTTCAACCACAATGTATCATTTTTAAAACATTCGTGGTTTTTTAATAAGTGTAGAATAAAGGCAGAGTTGAGAATGTGTATGCGCTTTAAAAATAAATCGTACGAATGAAGACCTTTATCAATTCTGTGGGTTCCAAGAAATTCTACAGATTGAAGTTATACTGATTTTTAACTAATTAGGATGCTGAATTCGAAAACAGATTTAACTGTTTGAAATACACAGAAATCCAAGAAAAAAAAATATATAGTGT